TCACTATATCAACAAGGTCTAAGGCACCAATGCCGGCCCTTATCGGATTCGTATCCGGGTTTATTGCATGATATGATTATTGATTTACATCCTAGTAATTAGGATGGTGATATGATTAGTGACCTGGTAGGTCTGTATCATGGTTTATGGAATTATGTTATGTTAGTGATCTGTTAGATCGGTATCCTGATTATAGGATGGTTGATATGTTATTGGCCGGTTAGATCTGTATCCTAGTTATAAGATGTTGTTATGATTATTGATCTGTTAGATCGGTATCCTGCTTATAGGATGGTTGACATGTTATTGATCGGTTAGATTTGTATCCTGGTTATAGGATGTTGTTATGATTATTGATCTGTTAGATCGGTTGACTGTTATATATGCTAGCGTATGATATTTATGTGCACATGTTGGTTTGATTTGGGGATGGATTGAGGCGGTCCTGCTTTGTGCTGAAGGCCAACATACCTAGGGCGGTTCGGGTAACCTGAAGGCCTTGCAAAGGGATTCAGTCAGGCCGAAGGCCCCGCGAGCGGTCCGGATAGGCTGTAGGCCCTGTGAGGCGGTCTAGTCATGCCGAATGCTTGGGAGCGGTCCAGATAGGCTGTAGGCCCTGCGAGGCGGTCCAGTCAGGCTGAAGGCTCATTATGCATGTTGTTGTTCTGTATTTGTTGATATGATATGATTATGGTTTCAGTTTATTGGTTCAGGTTCAACGGATAGCGGCGGGAAGGCGAAGGCGTGACCGTACACTTCCTCGATTGATGATTATGATTTCTGGGAACTCTGATGTATAAACTATTTTGAAAACAAATTGTAATAATTGAATGGTTGCAAATGATTTAAAAAGTTTTAAATTGGCTTGAATTTTATGGGTGTTACACTAAGAAATTGTGGAATTTTTTTACCAATGTAGACTTTGGCTCATGACTATCCCATAATATTGAGTGCCATTGTTAATCGCTCTAGTTGCGGCCACTTGCAGACCATAAGCATCAGGTATGAAGCCATTATTTTAATTGATTTATCTTGTACTCGCAAAATCATTAATGTCTGCATTTTTAGATATATGACACATCTATGATTTTAACAAGTTGCATAGTTGTTTTCCTAGATTCCTACTTAGTGATCAGATGAGCTTTGATGTGAGAAATAAGAAAATATTTTCATTTAACTGTGTATTGTAACTTTCTAATTTTATTTTTTTATTTACATTTGCTCTTATATTTTTTTTATTAAGGTGTTTGAATTTACAATTTTTACCAAATTGTGGGGGACTACAAGTATTTATGTATGCTTACAACCAATGGAGGCAATTGGTGAATGCTAATTCAGAGCCAACAAGATGAGAAGGCCGGAAGGAAGCATATTGAACAAAGTAACTTTGCCGATACATATATTGACTTCATAGTGGAATCTGGCATGCCAGGCATGGTGGATACGGTGGAAAATATGTTACGTACACCATACCACTTTGTTATAGGAACTTTGGAAATAGAAGGTTAAAGTTTGTAGTGAAAGCTTAATGTATTATGTAAAGTTGTAGTATAGGCTAGAATGTAAAAATATTAAAACAATAGAATTGATGTTACAATAAAAGAATTTGTTATTCGATTTCAATTTACTCATAACAGTAATGTTGGTTTGGTTGATAGATGTTGAGATTGTAATTTTGTTGATTAATTATTTGAAAAAATAGTCTCATCTTGATTGCATAAAAGGGAAGGTGACTTTTTTTTATTGAAGTAATTAGACCCGGTTGTTTAAATAAAACCGGACTCTATTCATCTTATAGGACCCGGTTGCAAAACCGGGTTCTTTTTAGAATTTCACATAGGACTCGCCTCCATAAAACTCAGTTGCAAAACCGGGTTCTATTAGCTATTTTAACCGGGTTTTATAAGCTTTTTTGTAGTAGTGTATTGGATGGAAAACCGTTTATGTTGCTTGACTGAATTCCTATATTCCTCAATCTACACCATACAATTATTTTAATACTTCTATATTTGAATTATCTGACGATTACTAATATCAAATTTATATACTTTACTACGTATAGGTCTTTCAATCTCAATAAATAAAACCAATTTGTGTAATAATATAAGAACGATGAATATATTACATCAATATATTTAGGTCTTGTTGATTTGACATGTGTCGTGACATATTTAAGATGGAAAAGATGATATGTAGAAGAAATGTAGGAGGATATTTAATTGATTATAAATAATTTATAACAAAACGATTAACTTTTTTGATGTTTCTCCGAATAGTCCAAAGTCTTGATAGTTAGCTCTTGGTCTTCCAGTTGAAAAACAACGTTGATGAAGGCGTGTAGGCGCACTATTCCACGGTGGGGATTGTAACTTTTCATAAATTTCCCATTTGTCACTCAATGATCGAACTTTGCTTATTTCTTTTTTGAGGATCGACGAATCAAATGATATTTCTGTTCCAATTTTTGCCTCTTCTTTTCCCTCTGAATCAAGGATTTGAGTTTTGTAAATACATCCCATCGTTTGACCGCCTCACTATTTCATCAACATATTTGTTCACTGACTCATCATCATATTTGTTCACCGTCTCATCAACATATTTGAATAGTTTCAAAACATACCTTTTACTTTTTTAGAATGTTAATTTAAATTCTAAGCATTTTTATTTATTTAAAATTTATAAATAAAATATATACTTATATGTATTCACTATAAAACAGATGTTGTCGTAAAGTTTAAATTTGACCAGGTGTTGTAAAATGTTAAAAATAACAAAAACAAATGTTTACATATGTCACAAACATCCAAAACGTGTCAGGAGATAGAATTTGTGGATTTCATATAATAGTTATGTCTCTCGGTTATAGTGAAGATGATTAGTGTCAAATTCGATCAGATTTACATAATAAGTTGTCAGGGCACCGCGGCGAGTTCGCTCCAATTCATAATAACGATTTAAACATCATAAGTTACTCATTGAATTTCTATTGATCACATTTTGCTCTAAGAGATCGTTGGTTGATTATGTCGTACATCGACGAGTACGGTATAATTATTCATTTTCTAAGCAAAGATGGTCCGTCAACATGTTTTCCACTTTGGCTTGGCCCGCAATGCATCTCAAATCATGAAGCTATTGTTATCGATTTTGTTCAAGGTGTTCATTGTGTGAATATGTTCATTTACAAGGAATGTATCTAATTCCTATTATATTTGCCGCTTTGACGTTACTACAATTCAGCATGGTCTGTTGGATGAAAAACTGTTTATGTTGTTTAACTGAATTCCTATATTCCTCCATCTGCACCATACAATAATTGTAATACTTCTATATTTGAATGATCTGAAGATTAATAAAATCAAATTTATACTTTGCTATGTAAAGGTCTTGCAATCTCAATAAATAAAATAAATTTATATAATAATATAAGAACGAGGTATATTTATTAAATCAATATGTTTATGTCTCATTGATTTGACATTATAAAAAAGATATCACATCACACATTGAAAGTTGCTCATCTTTTTTACTTTTTATTTTATCACTGTAGTAAAAAAAATCTCATAAAATACCATTGTATAACATTTTATTCAAGGTAACATATTTAACACGGGCAATAAAATATCACAATGACTATGATGGAAATCTTCTAGATATATTTGAAATAATTTCAATTAAAATGTTAATGCTCTGTATTTTATTTTAAGTATTACTATAAATTCAAATGCATTTTCGATAAAGTTTATTTTCACTAAATTTTAAGGATACATTTTATTGCTTTAAATTTATATTTTTAATGACCAACCAATATATAACATTCCTAACTAGTTTCTAATATATATATATATATATATATATATATATATATATATATATATATATATATATATATATATATATATTTGGATGTGTATGTTCATTTATTTCCATATGGTTCTTAATTTAGATATTCGTGTCCATTTATGCTCGTTTATTTTCATATATGTTTGTCTATATTCATTTATAATAATTTATTTTCATATATGTTTGTATATATACATATATATTTGTCTATAACAACTGATCTTAGTAGTTTATGACTTTTAGCATATCAGACATAACAACAAATAATAAAACACGATGCATAGCTAATACTTCAACCAAGAACAAACAATATATAATTCATACTCACTTGTGAATCAAATTCCAAATGAATTTCGCCCGTGCATCACACAGATAGAAAACATGACCTGAGATAGAAAACAATGTATAATGTTTGACCGGATGTTTATATTCCTTCAAATTTCCCACGTTGTAATTGTAATATTCTAGGAATTATGTTATCTGACGGTTGATAAAAAAATTATACTTTTACATGTGGTTCTTGATTTGAATATTTATATTTGTTCATTTATTTACATATGGTTCTTGACACTTGTAAGTTGTAAGTGTATCGTAAACTTATAAAATAACATACAAAAAAATGTTTTTGATCAATAAAATAAAATAGTATTCAAGACGGACAAATAAGTTGTCAAAACACAAGACAAAAAAATAAATAATTTGTGTTTGACACATTATTTATAATTAGACAAAACAAATCAATAATGTATTTACACTTACTATAGAAATATTACATACAAAAGAGTTTATATTATATTAATACAATAAAATAATAAGGGTATGAAATAAATTTTTGAAAACTAAAAGGTAAATTTTTAAATACATAGATAATTAGAAGGGCTAGAAATAAAAGTGTATCTTATGTAAATGGTTTCTTGAATTTAAGGGTAAACATAATCAATCACTTATTGAAAATTCTATATAGAGATCAATCATTTCATCGTTCAATTGGAATTTTATCGCGTATATAGATAAATCCTTGGAAAACGTGGATCTCATGAAATGTTTTAGACATGGATCTCATGAAATATTTTAGATATATATAGGCTAGATGAACAACTTCAGTTTAGTTTCATAAGGAACATCGTCCAACTTATCTGAAATACACGCAGAGCAAAATGGTACATACTTTCACCATATTCCGAGAGTTTGTTTTTTATCTTTTGGGAATGTTAGGTTTACATTGTTTCTTCATTGCTAAAATTCTTTCAACTCTTTTAGTAATATTTTATTTTGGATCCATATGCAGGCAACCAGTGCCACATACGTATGGGGTACACCTTGGGGAGGTAAAGGTGGAGAAAACGCCTGGCAATTCATAATACCTGATGGTGGTAGTCTTGCCAGGTTCACTATAAGTAGTGGCGACGTTGTAAATTCCATCCGCTTCTCTTACAAGGATCAATATGGCTTTACGCTTACTTCTGAACACTTCGGTGGCGATGGTGGCTCATCCAATACGGTAAGTTTTGAATTCTGTAACATATACACGTAAGTATCGAACTTAGGTTCTTATTTTATAATTAATATAGCAATCATGATATTTATATTTCGGTTTTAGATAACCTTCGCCGACGACGAGTTCCTCATCGGGATTAGTGGACGTGTCGGATCTATTAACAACTTAACAGTGATTACGTCATTGTCTTTCGAGACCAACAACTACACTTATGGGCCATACGGCACAAACCCTGGGACTGATTTCTCGTTTGGGGTCGCAAATGGTAAGTTTTCCGGATTTTATGGAAGGTGTGGGCATTACGTGGACTCTTTGGGTGTCATTCTTCAGCCGAAAACATGACATATTACACAGCATGCATGCTTGTTGTGTTTGAGGGAAACAAATGTTAAATGGTTCTTTAATTCGTTTCGTCTTCTAAATGTGCTACTCGTATATATGTACGTATTTTATATATTTTAAGATCGTATCTGGTTTCTTTGTGACACTATAAAAATAAGGTCGGAGTTACAGTTACAATAAGCACCCTTGTTGTGCATTTGGTTTTTCATGTACTCCTATTTATCCTTTCATATATGTAACTATATACAAAAATCAATATACAGGTCTGCTATATTTGTTGCTCAAGGGAACATCTAAGGTGGGTTTATGTCATCAAAACTCTTTTTACGTTAACTTAACATACAATCTGTAAAATTCTCAAAACAAATTTTGTTATTTACTAGGCGATGAAAATAAAATAATGACTATGCCACTACTACAAAACTGAGCCAATATTTCCGACAGCCAAATGCGTCCGCATGAAATATGGGGAATATGTAAACAAAAGGTTGTTATTAAAACCTGTGAACCAAGATAAAAGAAATAAGAAGAGGACAATTTGCAAGGATTAATTCCTTTTTTCTTCTTGTGAACGTGCACGTACAAAGCACACAAAAAGAAATAAACTTGGTGCACTTTTATTGGATAAACAAAAATGGAATTTGACATCTATATGTACTAAAACAAATAAAATCTTATTCTAATACCAAATCTAGGAAATACAACGACTTATACTAAGATAATCAAACTTTTCTAAAATACCCTTATTTGAATTAGACATAACCAAATCCAAAAATATGGAAATTTTCTTATGAACCGATTAATCCAACAATCACCCCTTAATCGGTTTGATCATACTGTTCATTCACAATAGTGTTTAATAAATATCTTTTCAAACCATCTTGGTTTTCGACTTTCCTGGACACCCATCCCCCACTCCGGTCACACCCAAAGTCTTCTCTCAACCATTTTGATTGTTTACAACACATGTTACATGTAACATAACATCCCGTTGGACACGTTCATTACCATCTCGACCTTTCCCGGATCCCCGACCTCTTCCTCAACCACATCTAAAGCCACCCGATTTGAACTTTCAACGTCATAATGTTCACACTGTGTTGTTTGTTGACTCCCTTCTTGTTTTGACAACCATATGTGTGCCAATCAATCCTATTCCGAGAGATTCTTCTACCAAACACCCTCGGTTCAACTATCTCCCATATGTCTTGTACATGCATAATCAACTTGACTTTGATTGCCCACACCAGATAATTTGTTAGGGTCAAAACCGGAACTTGATACGAAATCGAACCTCCTTCTTTAACTATCGACATCCTATTCTTTCTTTTGACATCCCGACCTCTTTAATCAAGCTTGTTCCGAGAACACTTTTTCCACCGACCACCAATACATGGTCAAGACCACCTTTACCGTCTTCTGTCATCCGCAAAGACGAATCAAATCAAAGCCACCTGCTTTGATGTCTTCCTGTCCGTTTATCAAGCACTTCCGGTTAGTTTCTCATTATCGTTAGAACAAGCCTGATCAAGAGAAATCAGGGCTGCTATTGAGATGCTTTAACTTGCGCTTAAAAAACGACTCACACCCCCTTAAACTGAACCCAATTACCGCTACGTCTTCCCTGCAGCGAAAGGCTACACCTTTTCTTACTCTCAAACCAGCCTTCTACGTCTTCACGATCTGTAGGCTCTAATACCTAGTGTAAACAAAAGGTTATTCTTAAAATTTGTGAACCAAGATAAAAGAAAAAAGAAGAGGACAATTTTCAAGGATTAATTCCTTTATTCTTCTTGTGAACGTGCACGTACATAGCAAACAAAAAGAAATAAATTAACTTGCTACATTTATATTGGATTGACAAAAGTGGAACTTGACATCTATGTATACTAAAGCAACTAGAATCCTATTCTAATACCAAATATAGGAAAAGTAACGACTTATACTAAGATAATCAAAATTTCCTAAAATACCCTTATTTGAACTAGACATAACCAAATCCAAGTATAAGGAAACTTTCCTACAAACCGATTAATTCAACATAATATGTTTGAACTTTGGTGGACGGAACGAATTATATAAGCATGAATATTTAAAATATTAAACTTCATTTTCCTTAAATTATTTTAAGAGTAAATTACATGTTTGGTCCCTATGACTTGTTGGAAGTAACACCTTCATTCCACAAGATCCATTAAAACTTGTTGCATTCTTGATCCTCCGTTTAAGATGGAACTGTTAAGACCCCTATCACATGAGAGCATTTTCACTACTAGAAAATAAACATTTAATGACACATATTGCATGTAATAAAAGGGTAGAGATGACACGCAAATGCATGTCATTAAAGCCCCAGTCATAAAGGAAGATGACACGCATCTGCGTTGCATAAATATACGAAACGCATTTACAACGTGCATTACGACACACAGTTTGCGTGTCATAATTTTAAGTGTTTTAAAAAGTTATATATATTTTGTATAATTGCTATTTTCACATTGAATGATAACTAATTTCTCATAATGCAAAACAAAATACATATATAGCAAAACAAGACATTTCATATATTAACGTCATATATCAAACAAGTTATCAAAACTATTATAGACCATATATGTAAAATACTAACAAACATGTTAAAGTTATCAAAAAATATTGTTTGTTGATACAAGGTATCACCGAAAAATAAAAGGCTGCAACAAAAGACAGATCATTCTTCAAGACTTCCATCAATATCAAAATTTGTTTACTCCATTTTTCTGCCACCAACATGAGAAAAAAAGTGTACCCCACTGTAAGGAGGGAATATCATGCAAAAGCTTGGGATATATAGAAAAATTTGTAAATAACTGCAATGATCTTTACAGGATTACACAAAAGTTTAACGAATATTTGATAGATTATTTTAGCAAGTTTGGAAGAGATGAATTGAATATTCTTCATCTAGAGGTAGTAACTGCTGTGGAGGCCTACACAATGGGTTTGAAGACAAATTCCCCATTTTATGAGGATCTTGTTATGACCACATGCATGAAACTTGATGAATTCAGAAACATGGCCTTAAGATTCATAAGACAAGAGGAAGACAAGTTGATGCAAAAGAAAATTCGAGACATCTTCCCAAAGATTCTGCAGACCAAGGCCTTACAGGAACTTAGAGAACCACATAGTCAATGCACTAGAAGATGAAGAAGATGATGAAGAATATCCTAAGATTTCTTATTATTCTTTTTTATATTGACACTACATGACTAACTTTTTCCATGCAGGATTTAGGTGACAAGGCAAGATGACCGAAGAATAATGAAAAAGTTTACACTTGGAATGATAGGTCCAAATGGTGCGTATACCACGAAGATTTTGGCCATAAGACAGACGATTGCGTTGCCCTTAGAAAAGAAATAAGATATGATCTCAAGGAAATCCTGGGGAGAAAGAATTTCAATCCTAAGGATAAAGAACAAGATTCCACCAAGATTCTGGAAAGAGCAACGTCACATTCTCGAGATGCTAAAGTCATAAACTTCATCTCACGAGGATCCAATATATGCCGCACAACCTACTCCGCAACAAAGAGGCATGCAAAAGTGTTAAATATGGAAAATGATGAGGGTCCAGGAAACAACGTAGACATCACAGACAAGAATGAGGTCATATTTTCCGAATATGAGAGAGAAAACATCATGGATCCTCACCATAACAGATTGGTGTTGAACCTATACATTACAAATCACTATGTTAGAAGAATCTTGGTGGATGGAAGAAGCTCCGTCAATATAATCCTACGAGTAACCTTGCAAAAAATGAACATTCCAGAGTCATAAATCTTGTTAAAATCCTTTGTACTGGTCGGATTCATCAGAGAAACAAAGAACGCCCTAGGTAAAATTAAATTGCCCATCTACATAGGAAGAATAAACTGATGGGTTTCGAGCAATACATCATTCCTATGGTGTACATGCAAACCCTAATAGCTTTTGGATCTAGTTTGTCTAATGAACATGCAATTGAATATCCAAAGCTATAAACCCTAGATCTATCATATAAGAACTGAAATAAGGGTTTAGTAATTACCTTTGATTGTTATATAGTAATAACAATCAATTCCTTGCTTTGATTGGCTTCAGAAAGCTTAGTGCCTCAAGTGTTGCACCTCTAATGGAGTCACAAACACCACTAAGCAATTGGATGAAGGAGAGAAGAGAGGGGAGGCACCAAAAACGGCTGGAAACCCTAAAGGAACACTTGTCCACGTTTTTGGGGCATAGGGGTCCTTTATATACATGTAGGCTATTAGGGTTTACAGCTAGGAAATCCTAATCTGACTGCTTAAGCCCTAAGCAGCCCATGGACTCCTTTAACATATCCCTTGGACGAATTCCTTATGGGCTTCCCATAGAATTCGTCCAACCTATATATTATTAGGTGATCCATAGCCCAATTGTAATTATCTTATAATTACAAATCCAGTCCCCTAAGTTTAATTAATCTCTTTTAGCCACTAAATTAATTCTTAATTCATTCTTGACTAATATTAATTAAACAATATGATTTCTCCTTTAACATATTATTCTCATAATATATTAATAAATCATAATTAAACCTTTCTCTCCTTAATTCATCCTACATACTGCTATGGTGAAGGCAACCCAAAAGGACCATGCTCATAATCGGGTCAAGTACATACCAAAATAGTTATGGACTTAGACACTATTCCAACAGTCTCTCACTTGGATAAGTCTAATAACTATTTTGCATAACTTCAGAACCTGGTCAGCGATCGTAGCTTTCAAAAGCCGCTGCCAACTCTGATCTTATCAGATACGCGTGTCCTTTAGATAAGGGATCATATATTCCTCCATTCTCAAGATATCGTATAGACACGAGACAAGGATTTAAATCATTCTCTCTGTCTATATTTTGTTTCCCGACTTCCGATTCATGACGACTGACAACAGACTATAATTGAACACATCAACTTAGTCCCGGCTTGGCCAAGC